TTTGGCTGATTTTATGTTGCTGTTTAAGAAAGAGTTGAATGGTTCCTTTTGTTGTGAAGGTAGCCCTGTGGATCTAGAGTAGTTGGGGATGATTGGCTCAAGTCAGGAGCTTTTCATACAGTGAAGAAAGAAAGAATAAGGAAAGGAAAACATTTTTTCAGATGTTTGTAATTCAGAGACTAAAAGAGAGGAGGAGCCCAGCAGCGGTCTTTTCAGAACACTGAAATACATAGCCAATAAACACGAAGCCCTTCTGTAAAGAACCGTATTGAGGATTTAGAAGTTATAGTCCTTTGAAATTTGTATCCAGATCTCTAACCTTTCAACTAACAAGTTTTGTTGGTCGTGGGGCTTGAACTCTGGGCTTGGGTGATGTCCCTGAGCTCTTCAGCTCAAGGCGAGCTCTCTACCACTTGAGCCACAGCGCCACTTCCAGTCTTCTAGTGGTTTATTGGAGATCAGAGTCTCATGGACTTTCCTGCCAGGGCTGGCTTTGAACGGTGATCCTCAGATCTCAGCGTCCTGAGTAGCTAGGATTATAGGCGTGAGCCACCTGCACCCAGCTTTTGAAAACATAAGCTACAATTTCAGGAAAGATAAACATTCTTTAAGCTTAGGTTCTCATTGTTTAAGATTATTTTTAAATGAAGTCTGGCAAAGTTTTGAGAGTGGATTTGGTTGATACTTTTAGGTTTTCACTTTACAATGTATCTATTTGGAGTTCTTAAAAGGAGAAGAAACAATCAATTATAGTGCTTATGATGCTATTGAAATCCTCACAGCTAAGCATTAACCCAGGAAATAAGTCCTGGGATTCACTTGTATGTCCTAGGAAGGGGATGTCTCCAAAATAATGGGAAATTTGAATTTCCGAAGAACAGAAAATAGTCTTTCTCATGAAGGTTCAGAGAGAAAATCTGTTCATTGCATCTTGAATTTGCTTAAGGTAAACATTATCTGAGTAAACTATCATTGTTGCTTATAGAAATGAGCGTGGCCGGGTGCTGGTAGCTCACGCCTGTCATCCTAGCTACTCAGGAGGCTGAGATCTGAGGATCGCGGTTCAAAGCCAGCCCGGGCAGGAGAGACCGTGAGACTCCTATCTCCAATAAACCACCAGAAAACCGAAAGTGGCGCTGTAGCTCAAGTGGTAGAGTGCTCGCCTTGAGCTGAAGAGCTGAGGGACAGCGCCCAGGCCCAGAGTTCAAGCCCTATGACAGACCAAAAAAAAAAAAAAAAAAAAAAGAAATGAGCGTGACAAGAGTGTGTTCTACCTACAGGCTGATGAAAAACTAAAGTAAAAAGGGTTTTGAGTTCTGCACCTGTATCCTTTTATTTCCTTCATCCCGTGTTTTTTTAAGTAGTATTGGATTTGAATTCAGGACCTCACACTTGCTAGGCAGGTATACTGCTTAGCCATTCATATAGCTACATTTTTTGGGAGGGGAGATTGTTTATCAGCAGCAGCAGCAGCTTTTAAGCAAAGAAAACCAACTTTATTGATGCATAATTGGTGTGCAGTTGCCTGCTCGTGCTCTAGGGGTACAGCTTTGGCACAGTGCGCACAGTATCATCTATTATCTCCAAAGCTTTTTCATGGCCCTATGTAATTCCTTCTCTATGGTTCTCCCAACCCAAAGCAAACACTGATCTGCTTCCTGTCATTATATATTAATTATATTTGCTAGAATTTTATATAGATGGAGTCTGACATTATTGTTTTTAATTTATTTTATTGTAAAGATGCTGTACAGAAGGGTTACAGTTACATGAGTAAGGTAATGAGTACATTTCTTGTTGAACATTGTTACCCACCTCCTTTGTTTTCCTCCTACTATTCCTTTCCTTCCCCACCTTCCCCCACCCAAGCTGTAAAGCTCATTTCCAACATAGTGTCTTGTGAGGATCACTGTTGCAATGGGTCATCCTGTGTCCTTGTTCTTGTTTTGTCTTGATTCTTCTCAAGTCATGTGTCAACAGAGATGGGGACAGCATTTGGGGCAGGTCATTGGAGCAGCACATGCCCAGTGTGCCCAGCAGGGTTGGGGCATGCAGCCAGTGATGCTGACACAGTCCATGGCCAGCAAAAGCCTCTCCTGACATGGGGTCCGCCTTTTGGTATTTAGACACCATTGGTGTTTCTTTCAGCTTGCTCAAGGACCCTAAGGGGTAATATTCAGGAAGCACAGAATTGTTATTAGCTGCATTCCATGCCAGAAATCATCCTTCATCTCCAGACTGGTGACCCGTGCAAATGAAATGTTGCACTCTTTCTACTCAGGGATATCTTCCTTCCCTCCCCCACCTTGTCAGGTCCCCCTTTAGATGCCTGCTTCACTCAGACTTATGATTGGCTCAAGAACTATTTTCAATACAATCTTTTGAATCAAGTTGTTAAGCCCACTCTCTCTGAGCCATTCCCTCTTAGAATTTCAGGGGTTTTAACTGATCCTATTCAGATGTTGTTAGACCACTTGTATAACACTTCATGGTCCTGTAAGCATTTCCACCTGAAGATAAGTTATAGGCAGTATTGAGTTTCTTCCAAAGGTCTCTTGTCTAGCCCCACACATTTGTTTTGAAAACATTTATCCACACAACAAATAGGATGATTTCTCTGGTCCTTGGCTTCAAATACATATTGTATTGTTTATTTTTGTATGTTAAATATCTTTGAAGTTTAGGAATAAATCTCACTTCTTGTGGTAATTCATTTTATCTTGTCCCTTCTAAAATTTAAATTTATTCTATCAGATACATATGTATTTATAGGGTACCATGTGAATATCACTTGTCCAAGATACTATAGTTAGAAAATGGAGGAGGAGCATCAAGCACAGACCCTCCAGCTCTATTTCTGCTCTCACTCTTTTCTGTGAGGAGGTCAGAAGTTGCTGACCTCATCCCTGAAATGTTACCCTGAAGAACTCTGAAAGATTCCCAAGCAGAAGTTTCCAGTGCCTGTTAAACAATTCCCTTTAGGAATGAAACCCAATAAAAGTCATTCCAGGAATATCTACAATTCACCTCAGGCAAAAGATAACCAGAACTGAGTTGCAACACTGCTTGAATTTTTTCTGGTAAGTAAGGAAGTATGGAGGTGGCCTCTGTTGTACTATTAATGATGCGACAATGAAGAGGCCAAGGTCTAAAACCACAGATTTCCCTGCAGGGACCAAGGCAATGGGGAGAAGGGAATTTAATGTTGGCTCAAATAGGAAGGATGTAGAATCCCTAAAGAGAATGGAGTGGCTGAGTAAAATATTGATCCCTAAGGCACAAAAAGTTCTTCTCAGTCTACTAGGTAAATTCAGTGGCCGTGATTCCTTATTGAATCTGAAATCTGTCACTGGGATGAGACCGAGCACCTTTGCCCCTGCATATAACCACGAGGGCTACATCATTAAAGTCTTGTCCAGCCTTCCTTCTGGTGTCTCATCTGGTGGCAGCGGTAGCAATGATGAGGTATGTTTATTTTTCATTGCTGCCTTAGAGGACTAAGAGTTAACATCACAAGCCACAGTCAATAGCTTAGAAATGTTTTCCAGGGAGAATGAGGAATGAGTGTTGTACTTCTTAGAATCAGTGGCACCAAGGCTTAAATTCCAGTGTTGCCCTGCCTTTCATGTCACAGGGATAAATCTCAGTGGCAAGGAGGCATCACTGTTTCCTCTTCAAAGGATGCTCAGTTTCAAAACCTCTATTAATGTCTTGCTTTTTACTTAACATTATTTAATATATCATTAACATAAAAATTATATATATGAGGTTAAAACGTATCGTTTAGATCAGTATTGTGGATCATACAACATGAAATGCCACAAAAATGAAGGTAATTAGCATTTCCATCAACTCTACATTTACCTTCTTTGTGGTTTGGTTGTATATGTTTGTATACATAGTGAGAAGATAATTATAAAAATATATCTGCTGGGCGCTGGTGGCTCACTCCTGTCATCCTAGCCACTCAGGAGGCTGAGAGCTGAGGATCATGGTTCAAAGCCAGTCCAGGCAGGCAAGGCCATGAGACTCTTATCGCCAATGAACCATCGGAAAACCATGTGGCTCAAAGTGGTCGAGTGCTAGCCTTGAGTGAAAGAGCTCAGAGACTATACCCAGGCCCTGAGTTCAAGCCTCATAACTGACCAAAAAGTCTCCTATTAAAAATACTAACCCTAAACATTTTTGTCCTTTAGCCAACTAGCATCTGATTTTCTGGCACCAAACATCTGGCCCTGGTACCAGCCATCTTACTACTATGTAAGCATTACTGGTGTCCATTGTACAGAGGAGAAATGGTGTGTTGCCTATTTATGGTTTGCATAAGGTCCTCACATTTTGAGATGCAATGTGAGCACTTCAAGCTATACCTGCTTCTTTACAATTTAACAAGTCCAAAGATTTGCATGAAATTGGTGGGAGACACTGAAACTCGTGCCGAGAATGTGCAGAGTCTGTGGACACATGGCCATGTTGATGTCATAGTCATTAAATTTTCTCTCCATAGACATACCACTCTGCTAGTTTTATTTTTCTGTGCCAGGGCCAGGAACTTAAATCTTCCTGGACTTTCTATCCTTCCATCTTGCTTTAGATTCTATTCTGCATAGAGGTCAGTGCCAGGTTATTAAGGCTCTGACCTGAAATTTGACTAGGAGAGGGCTGAAGCCAGACTTACATTATAAAATGAGGAAAGAGGCATCCTGTGTTTGTCCACCCTCTTCTCCCTGCTCGGTTTTTCTACCAGCCGTCTTCCCCCATGACCGCCTGGCCCATCGCCCTAAGGCTAAGCTCAATGCTTAGTGAGTGGTGACACTCACTTTAAGGAGCACTGATGCCACACGGTACAATGGGGACATTCAGGCAGGTTCTCTGGATTAGGAGTTTCAGACATTTTCAGGATATACACACACGGGTGAGTACATTGTAGGAAGATAGAGATTGTCCTCTAATACCACCCCCCTCCAAATTCTGGTGTCCACAGATCCACTGAGAGAAGAATGGTTCTTGCAAACAGCTCTTTGGTGACTGAATTCATTCTGATGGGCTTGACAGACCAGCCCCTCCTCCAGATGCCCCTCTTCTTCCTGTTTTTGGTCATGTACACGGTCACCACCTTGGGGAACTTGGGGCTGATCATTCTTGTTGTACTGAATCCACACCTTCACACCCCCATGTACTTTTTCCTTTTTAACTTGTCCTTCATAGACCTCTGTTATTCTTCTGTGATCACCCCCAAAATGCTGATGAACTTCATATTAAGCAGAAATGCTATCTCTTATGAAGGCTGCATGACCCAGCTGTACTTTTTTTGTTTCTTTGCAATTTCCGAATGGTACGTATTGACATCCATGGCCTATGACCGCTACGTGGCCATCTGCAATCCCCTCCTGTACAGCACCTCCATGTCTCCCAAAGTGTGCTCCTCCCTTATGCTCGCTTCTTACCTGATGGCATTTTGTGATGCCACAATCCACACTGGGTGCGTCCTGAGACTGACCTTCTGTGATGCGAACACCATCAACCACTTTTTCTGCGATCTCACTCCTTTACTGCAGCTCTCCTGCACCAGCACCCATGTCAATGAGGTAGAGATTTTCATTGTAGCAGGAAAAGACATAATTTTGCCCAGTCTGGTCATCTTTGTGTCTTACGGTTTTATTCTTTCCAGTATCTTCAAAATAAGGTCCACTGAAGGCAGGTCCAAAGCCTTCAGCACCTGCAGCTCCCACATCATTGCTGTGTCTCTGTTTATTGGATCAAGCACATTTATGTACCTTAAACCCTCCTCAGCTGGGACTATGGATGGAGGGAAAATCTCTTCCGTGATTTATACCATTGTGTTACCCATGATGAACCCCTTAATCTATAGCCTGAGGAACAAAGATGTTAAAGTTGCTCTGATAAAAACACTAATCAGAAGAAAGTTTTGAAAAGAAGTTGAATCTCTCTGTTCTTGTGGTACAGTTCAGAGAAAATGTTGGTGCTCTTCAGTATGTGTCTAAGGTCAGCTTTATCTCATTTCTTTCTTAATAAGGGAGGGAAATGTGAACTTGGTTTGTTTTCAGTTTCTTCTGTTTTGTTATATTTGCACAATTTCTCCTTTTACTATTTCTCCTTCTCTGAAAAATATTGAGAATGTAATTTATGCCATTTTCATTTTAATTATGGTCTTAATCCTAAAATAATAACAAATTATAAATGTTTGAATAAAGTAATATCTTGACTGTGGATTGTGCAGGACAGTTTGATTTGGCTCTTTTACTGTGACTTGTTAGATCATTCTCTGCTTTTGTCATCCCATCTCTACTGGGTAGGAATCTGTCTCTTCCAAATGCTAGTGTTTCACAATGCAGGTGTCTCTGCACAGACTCTTGACAACCCCCCTTGCTGCTGCAAACTATGCACTGAGCTTCCTTCTGTGACGCATTACATTTACCTTGTAAAGAGAAATGCTATTGTAGATCAATGGTAAATATTATATGAAAGCTGTTAGGTGTCTTGATTCTAAATCCACCCCTCTGTCTAGGATATCATTCATCTATTTTATTAGGTGTATTTCACTAAGCATGAATAATGAGGTAATATTTCTATTTTGAAGTTTGTGCTTTGTCTTTAGATGACACCCATTCATCTAACGACTTTGGTTATGTAATCATTTTGTTTCTCAGAAACATTGATGGTCCCATTGATCAAGTGGAAGGCTACTGGAATTAGGAAATTGGGAGATGATGGGCTCAGACTTGAAAGTGTGTTTTTTTTGTTGTTTTTTTGGGTCCAGTCATGGGGCCTGAACTCTGGGCTTGGGCGCTGTCCCTCAGCTCTTCAGCTCAAGGCTAGCGCTCTACCACTTGAGCCACAGCACCACTTCCGGCTTTTTTCTTTTTATGTGGTGCTGACGAATCGAACCCAGGGCTTCAGGCATGCAAGGCAAGCGCTCTGCCACTGAGTCACCTTCCCAGCCTGAAAGTGTGTTTTTTAAATTCATTTTTCAGCCCTATTATTACAGATAGAGCAAAACATTATTAAAAGCCAAGCATCAGCTAAATGATCAAAAAAATTTTTAAAATTGTTATTGTAAAAGTGATGCAAAGAGGAGTTATGTTCACATTTTTGTTATTTGGGGTTTGTGTTGTTTTTTTCCTTTGTGGCTGTTTTTGTATTCTGTACCTTTTTTTTTTTTTTTGGTCCTGTTGTGGGCCTGAACACTGTCCCTCAGCTTTTCACCTCCACTTGAGCCACAGCGCCACTTCCGGCTTTTTTTTTCTGCTTATGTGGTGCTGAGGAATCGAACCCAGGGCCTTATGCATGCAAGGCAAGCGCTCTGCCACTGAGCCACCTTCCCAGCCCTGTTTTCTGTACCTTTTGTCTTGTATGCAAGTTTGTTCTGGGGAAGTTAACGGGAACATGGAAATGGTGGGACAAAGGGTGAGCAAACGCAGCAGTGATATTCACTAGACACTGTGAACTATACAACTTGTGAGGGTCGAGGGGGAAAAACTGGGAGAAAGTGAAGGGAGAGATGACACTGGGTGATCTTGTTAAAAATAATTTAAAATGTTTTCAAGATCTTTTAGTTGGAATTCCGGGAAGTTCAAAAGGGATGGTGCTTACAGATCAGGGCCTTACTTCCTTCCCCTCCCATGGCTTGGCCTGCTTCTTTCCTAGGCAACACCAGGGCCATTTAGCAAAGGTGGTAACTAATCAGCCTCCATGCTCCCCCCCCCATCCCCGCCTTTACCTTGAGATGACATTCCTCTGGGGCAGCTACCACCATAGAAGGCAGCAAGAACCCCTCAGAGTGACCTTCAGGTCTGGGCAGCTGCAGGGCCCCTTATCTACTACTTGGGCAGCAGCCATCAATCCTAGTCCGCCATGAGGAAGCCCCTGGCCCACACATCCACACCAGGTCTCTGCCTCTTAGCCTGGAATTCTGGGCCAGAGGCCCAACACTCAACATGTTAGATTTAGTTAGTTGCCCTCAATTTGTCTATTAATGAGGGAACTAGTAAAGAAGATCAGCAACAAGGTTTTGGTTAAGTTACTTGGATATTTTTTTGTTTCTGCCCTGGATCCACAGAAAGGTAGCACACCCTCTTCCCTCCTTCTAGTTGGTCCGGAGATGAACTATCATCTCCCTACACAGACATGTTCCTTTTCTTGTTTCTGGCTTGGATCTAAAATGTCTGTTTTGAGGAGAAGTAAAAACAGGCCTCCCGGCCTGTCTCTAGGCAGAGGGCATGTGTTTTCTTCTCCCTGAAAGCAGTTTTCTTCCACTTGGATTCAAACCTGATGATATCTCCAGGTCAGCTTGGATATTCCTTGGAGACGCATCAGAAACGCTGCCTCTGCCATTCCTCCAGCTCCCTGCTCAGTGCGGTGCTGCCTTGGCCTACCCAGTGCCTGCCTTGTCTTTCACTTAGTTGAGTGCCCCCAGGCCGCGAGGGCCTGTTGCGTGCCCTCTGTGCTGGCTGGTTCTGCTCCAATGCTCCACGTGGTTGGGCTTGTTTTCCCCACGTTAGCCTTTTCAGGATGCTTCCTTAAGATGGACACAGGCAACCAGACATGAGAAATATAGGGAGGTAGAAGGGCATCACACTGGTTTTCTGGTTACCAGAAGGATTCTTTGAAAGTGAATTCATAGATGTACCTTGCTCATGGACTGGGGGGGGGGGGACTACTTGACCTCAGCCTGAGGATTCATGTTGTTTCTCTGGGAGGGAATAAATTGGCAGGATAATTATAGAGGAAAAAACTCACTTCCTAGAGATGAGGGACTCTGCAGACACTACTTCAGCAAGAGGGAAAGTTGTAGAATTCCAGATGGAGTCACTTGTCCCAGACTTTCCAAGAGAACACATCAGAGGTTGTGAAGGAATGGTTCCTAAGCACGATTTCTCAACACTAAAGCCCTCGTCTGTGTATGTTCCCACAGCCAGGAACTTGTACTCTTGCCTTTGTGTTCTTGGTGATTTGTATAGTTACAGGAGAAACTCAGGTCACTCAATTTTATATAATTAATGTCTTCATGTCTTCTAATCATCAAGCTATAAAACAAACCAGGGCTAACTCTACTAGCCTCCGAGTATGGCTCCCCTTCCTCAAATACAATCACCACTAAGAATGTATTCACTGCTATAGAAGCACCTTGATCATCCATAACCTGAAGTCCAAGCTTCTCCCTAACCAATCAAGGACACAGCGTACTACCGAGATTTTTTTCAGTATATAGTCTGAGGAGCTACTTCTCTGGGAGGACTTACTTCAGTTTATTAGAATGAAAGAATACTTCATTAAATCTAATTTACATCATTAGATTGGATGACATACAACAGTAACTAACTCAGTTATTGAGACAAAACAAAAGTTTATTGAATACTTAATGTAAACACTCAGGGCATTAAAGTAAGAGTAAAAACAATCACGTGTTTTATAAAAGGAACTGAAGCAAAATGGGGTTCAGAGGTCTCAATGGGCCTTCAGACCGTACACAGAAACAACTCCTTGCCCATGCCCACCAACTGTAGCATTTATTTTATTTTCTCCAGACCTTCAGTGAAGATTATCCAGTGTGCATTAGAGCTTGCACTTAGGATCAGTAATTATTAGGTTATTTGGCTCATCTGACCCCTTGCTGTGGACAGGGAGACCGGATCTCTTTTCAGAGGAAGGAAAGGCAACTTTTGCCCACCTCTTGGCTGTGCACACACGCACCTCTGGGCAAGCCTAGACTCCATACTAACAATGCTTCAAGATAAATGCATACTCACCCAGGTATCCCAAAGACCAGGATGCAGTTTTAAACTTGCAGTCTTTAGAAGAGCAAAAGCAACAACTTACAGAAAACAGTCACTTAGAATTTAACTTTTAAAAGCAAAGTCCCTTTTCCCTGTAAATTTGTGAATTGAAATACATTTGAACTTTTCCTTACTTTGTCCTTTTTGATAGGGTAAAAGAAAATAATTTTAATTTGAGTGTACACGGCATTAAGTATAAGTGGTATGTAAGTAAATGTGCAATATTCCCACTAAATATTAGTCTTATAGGCTAGTTTTATGCTTGTAAGTTATTGAGCTATAACTTGGAATATGGCTCGGGGACACGCGTATATAGAAACACTTTGGTCAGTAGTTTATTTATTACAGCCCCACCCTTCCCCATCTGACCTCTGTTCCGCTGAACAGCCGGGCAGGTCTTGATTCCCATCCTTCTCCAGGCTGGGGCAGGGTGCAGTCTCATTTTGTCACCTCTCAAGCAGTCATCTCACATACAATTTTTTTCTGAAGGAAATTCTTCCTCACGATGCTTATAGAACCTAGGAGGGATCTCTGTGACATTTTCTGCCTCTGGTCTCACTTGTTCTAGAACCCCAGGTTTGAGGATGTCTCGCCTACTCTGGACTCCTGACTTGTTCATCCATCTGGCCCATTGCAGCCTCCACTCCCAAGATCTCCTCTTCTCAAGTCGAGTGGACATGATGCTGGGGTCCACTGCTCCTTAGTTTCTAAGAACAATCTTTTGCTCTTTTGCTTGGTTGTGTTCTGCTCTTGTTTTCTCTGCTAGTACTGGTGATACAGGGTTGGTAGGAGGTGAGTGAGCCCACAGCAGCTTTAGGGAATTTCTGGTCTGGTTCACTGTCTCTCTTCTTGGTGTCAAAAACAATGCATTTATGTTGATTTGGAGGTGTTCATGTCACAGTGCTTTCCTCACTAGGGTCAGAAGGTGTGGTCCTGGTGTTAGTTCTTCTTCATCTTGTCCCTCCCTTTCTTCCGTTTGCTCTTCAGCCAGCCGAAGACTTGGTGGAAAACGTGGCAGCTGAAGCCCTCGTTAACCCCATTCTCCACATGCTCCTGCAGGACCGCCAGGCTGGGGAAGACCCGGCAGCAGGCCATGCACCGATAGCCACTGTTCATGGCCACCAGCCACTCAGGGGTCCTCGCCCTGGACCTCTCCTCTGCAGCCGCGGGCTGGGTGAGGCTCTCGGCCTCTCCCAGCTTCTCCTGGCCTTCGTCGTCCGAGTTGAACTCACTGTCGTGTAGGAGCTCGTGGGTAAGCACATCGGAGTGGTTGACTTCTGCTCGGATCTTCTCAGGGAATGCAATGGACTCAATTCTCATTTTCTTTTTGGGGGGCTCCAGTCCGCCTTTTGTATCCTCTAAAACAGCCACTCCCCTTTTCAGCTGGACATGCATGTAGTAAACCTTCATGATTCTTTCGTTTCTCATGAGTGCTGAAGACGTAGAAGGCCTGTTATCCCCAGGAAAGTCATTGCGCAGAATTGGGGAGCATGTTTCCAGGTCCTCCACCTTTTGGGTGATGGGCAGCTCAGGTTTAAGATGTGGAACATCTTGACATAATTTGTGGACTTCTAGGCGAGAAAGTGTCAAATATAAGAAGATAAGACAGCTACGAAGAGATCACTGTGTGATCTACACACTGCATGTGTAGAATGGGATTGCACATTCCTGATTTCCCAGAATTATATGTGTGGTACAGGTTACATGGTAAATGAATCTGTGGTATGCCTATGTAATTATATATCTACATATATATACATACATACATATATATATACTATATATGTGTATACATATGTGTCTTGCTCATGTCTGGGGAATGTTTCTGGTGCTGAAAGTGAAATGAGAGTGAGTGTGTGTGTGTGTGTGTATCTGTGTGTGAGAGAGAGAGTGTATGTGTGTGTGTGTTATGATAGTCCATTTGGGTAGCCAATGCATTGTTTCCTGTTCTTTGTTAAACCCTGTGACAGTAAGACTGAATGGTCAAAAGGCATGTGTAAATAGCGGATGAGGTCACATGTTTTCTCTTACATTCATGAGTTTCCTGGAGTTTGTGTTAGCATAAGAGAGATGAAACAGGCTCTCTGTGAGGGAATGTGGATTGTGAATGGGAATAATGAGTGCAGCGGTGAACTTAAGAATGGCTGTATACAGAAGTACGGGGGTAAGGGTGTAGCTCTGCAATGTCAGGAGAGTGGGAAAGACAGATGGAGAGAGGATGAGCAAAATTGCCTCACCCTCCTTATGGGCAAGGGCAAGCTTGCTTGGAGAGGAGACACAGGAGAAATATTCAGAGGTAGAGAAGTCATCTCCAGGTGCTGGACTCCATGCCTGGACCGCGGCACGAGTCTGGGGGACACCCTTTTGAAGCTTCCGGCATTCTGGAGGAGGAAACACGAAAGCCTTGAGACGCTGTGATCCAGGGTCTGTGCCATGCAAACACAGACTTTCTGAGCAGCTGTTTTGTTTGAGGCCTTGTTGCCACCTACAGGACTTCCACTCACACCAACTTAAGTAACTTCAAAAAGTAAAAAAGAATAATAGTTATTATAATCCAGGACTTGGTGGAACATGCTGATAATCCAAGATACTCAGGAGTCAGACACAGGAGGGTCATGAATTCAGTATCAGCCCAGGCAAAGTGTAACTTATCTCAAAACCTAAATAAAAACAAAGGCTTGGAATTAAGTGGCAAAAGGTGAAGTTCTGGGTTCAGCCCCAAGTGACATAAAACAAAGTACACGAACAAGGCATTATTAAAATTATATGTGTGGTACTTGTCAGTGGGATCAGTTCTCTTATATGTGATGTTACTTAGCCACTGAAGGTTTGATTCTGCTATTAGCTCATGTTCCTCGTGAGAAATTCTGCAAATGAGGGCTATGAGCTACAGGTTTTATGAAGAATTGTGCATCAATTAAAAATAGGTCAGGGCTGGGAAGGTGGCTCAGTGGTAGAGCGCTTGCCTCGCATGCATGAGGCCCTGGGTTTGATTCCTCAGCTTTACATAAGAAAAAAAAAAACAGAAGTGGTGCTGTGGCTCAAATGGTACTAGCCTTGAGCTGAAGAGCTGAGGGACAGTGCTCAGGCCCAGAGTTCAAGCCCCACGACTGACAAAAAAAAAAATTGGATATAACACTTTTTGAAATATTCTTAAAGAGAGAGTAGAGTACCAAATAAGCTGATTTTTCTGGACCGAAAGCAGCACAGTCCCTAAATGACAAGGATAGTATTGAGAAAAATTCATTCCTTTGGAATTTCTCATTTTCCGCTTCTGATCTTAATAAAAACATAGGGAGGAATATTTTGAGTTTCTTTCTAGACAGGGTCACTTCATACCATGGACGGGGAGATGTGAACATCTTTAGAAGATGCCTAGATCTTAGCTTTCCCTTCTGTGCCCAGTTGGATACCCCTGAGTACCTTTACTGAAGAGCTTGTCTTCATGCGAGACGCAGGAGTAGTAGACAGAGGGGGGGGCAGCGGCACCGCCAGCTTTCTTGTATGGACTTAGGCCTGCTGCCTTCCGTTTATACTGTTGAGCCTCTCTGTGTAAATTCAGATTCCCTAAGAAGTCAGAAATGATACTTATTTCCTATCTATGTATATTTTCTACTATATGACAAGTCCATCCAACGTTCCTGGCCTCCATCCTCATCAACAACAATCAGCTACCTACTGCGGAAAATGACAAATGTAGAATAATACTTATTTTCAGTTCACGTTATGGCTGACTACATTGGCACAATGTGTCATTTATAAATGGAGTAGAGATGCTATCTCCTTTTGGCCTGAGAATATTATTTATCTCTATCCCTTCCTTCCCTCCTCCCTCCCTCCCTCCTTCCCTCCCTCTCTCCCTTTCTCCCTCTCTCCTTCCCTTCCTTCCTTCCTTCCTTATCTACCTACCTATCTATCTATCTGAATATCTAGATCTATATATCAGGCTCCCTGGTAGTTAACTGAGCACATGATTCCGTTTTTTGAAATAGAAAATGAATTTTTAAAATATGTACCACTTCAAAACATGGCTTCCTAAACTTGTGTATTTCTCCATCTTCTTTCTTCCTCAGCTGCTTGGGATCCTGATAACTCAGGATCTCTCTGAAAGCTATTTATTAGCGAGGATGGGTTCATTCTTCCCTAGCCCTTGAATTAACTCAAGGAGGATACTTGTCTATGGACCTGTCATATATTCTGACTTGTTACTAAAAGCACCAGTAGATTCAGCTGTTTAGCCTGCTCTACTTCTGAGCCTAATGTGTTTTGGAGAGGCGTAGAATCTGGAATATAGAAAGTGGACAATTTATTGTCAATATATACCCTAACCTCATCCATGTATGGGTTTTATACATGAATAGCAATGAGTGTATGCTTTGAATGTCTCATCATCTACCCTGAATAACGTCTTTAGGTGAATTTGAAAACAACTCCCTCTACAAGCTCTAAACTTCGTTGGGCCTGTGTAATTATCCTCAGAAACATATTTCTATTTGGAATGTTGGGGTTGGGTCTGACCTGACCCCCTCCTAGTCACTGATAGGAATTGTTCATTGATTTCCATTGTGACTACATTAGCTAGTTTCCTGTTTTTAATCTTCTCAATGCAGCCATCATGATTAAGTCATCATTTTTTATTTTATTTCATTTTATATGTATATTTGCTTTGTTTTCCTTCTTGCATGTTACATCGAAACCCCATATTTATATCTTTCTAGTCTTTAGCTTTTCTCCTTTATGACTATTTTGTCTTTTCCTTTCAGTGTTTCCCTAACTTCTATGAACCATGCTTCCTTCTTTAAAAGGAAAAATTACTATTAGAAAACACATAACAATTTGTTTGTTCAATGCCCATGGGAAGTCAAATGAAAGGAAAGTTGTTTTCAAAAGGAAAAGTAAACTAACTGCTATGTAATAGAGCAGTCTAGCATAACTTGGTGTAGGTAGCCTGGACCCTAAGTCAAATGGACAAAACCTAGGCCAGCTGATCTTTTCTTTACTCTGAGACTATCTTGACCCACACGCGTCTCTCTCCATCCTTAAGTCACTTCTGTCCTCTACAACGATGTGGAAGTCTCGTCTCTTTATTGGAAAGGAGACACAGAGCACAAGCTGACACATACCTCTTGACTTCTTTGCACCTTCAGGGCAGAATGTCCTTTCCAGATGTTTCCTTTTCTGTTTTTGCTTCATGGTTCAACTCTTTGGAAAGTAATTTTCTCTGAGGCTTCTGAGAGTTAGTTAATAATGACAATGAATGAAATTCGTGCAATCACAGGCAACAAATCACAAGAGAAGAGGTTACGTCTTCTCCACGTTGCTGTCCTGACCACTGGTCACTACAAAATTGAAGTTGCTCTGATCCTAGCTATCACCAAGGCCACCGCAGTGTATTGTGACCTGTTGGTGACGTCATCCGAGCCCAGGAAGTACTTACCACACTGCAGGACTGCTCGAGCACACCGCCTGAGGGGAAAGGCCACGTACTGTGAGGGTAGTGGCTACCTCTTGTCTTTACACATATGGATTTGATGACATGAAGTGACAGAAGAAATCTTCACCCATGAAATTCTATCGTTGACTTGAAACTTTATGTCTAATACTCGATAACAAAACTAGTAGTGGCTATGAAATCCCCAGAGAAAGGGAAACCTTATCCAACACTAAGTTCTCTAGGGAATTAAAGATATTATTCTGGTCTAGGATGTAAACGCATCCCATCATGCCTGGAATCTGTTCTGTGTGTGCAATGAGACTGATCAAGCCTCTGCTTATGGTCAGGTGTACATCTTGTGAAACTCAGCTCTACTGCTACTGTTTGTTTTTTGTAATTTCTGAATGTTACTTGCTAACTGCAATGGCTTATGATTGCTACGTGGCCATCAGCCATCCACTCCTGTACAACACCACCATGTCCCCTAAAGCGTGCTCCTACCTTATCCTTGGTTCATACTTGATGGCGTTTTCTGGTGCAGTGGCCCACACTGGATGCATGCTGAGACTGACCTTCTGTGATGCAAACGCCACCAACCACTACTTCTGTGACATCCTCCCTTTGCCCCGGCTCTCCTGTACTAGTGCCTTTGTCAGTGAGGTAAAGATTTTCATTGTAGGGGCAAAGACATCATTGTACCCAGTCTGTTATCTTTATCTCTTAAGCTTTCATTCTTTCCAGCATCCTCAAAATAAAGTCCACTGAGGGCAGGTCCAAAGCCGTCAGCACCTGCAGCTCCTACATCACTGCTGTGTCTCTGTTCTGGTCAGATGCCTTTATGTATCTCAGACCCTCCTCAGCTGGGTCCATGGATGAATCAAAAAGCTGTGTTTTGTACCACTGTAACATCCATGATAAACTACAGCTTGAGGAAAAAAGATGTTAAAGTTGCCCTGAGAAAATCCCTTTGTAGGAGACCATGTTAACTGGGAACTAAAATTCTGTGAAAGCACAGGCAGATCCCATGTGCTATATATATATATATATATATATATATATATATATATATATATATATATATATAGTGACCGCTTCCTTGTATTGCAGCAGGCTTTGTATTGCATAGGCTTTCTTCTGTTGTACCTTTGTATTGCAGCTGGCTTTCTTTTTCCCTTATCTTTGGCAAAATTCTTGCTTTCCACATTTTCTGTATTTTAAAATAGCATTCATTCAGTAATTTGTTTCTTTTTGTTTTTATTGTCCTTGTGGTCCTCAATTTAGTAAATACTGAATGTGTCTGCCAATGACTACATGAAAGTAACTTGGCAAGGTTCTTATCTATCACTTGTAATGAATCAGGAGTCAGATAGTGGATGCTTTCTTTCCATTGTCCACTGGGCAAGAAAGTCTCACTTTTAAACACCAGTGTTTAACAGTATAGATATTTCCATATAGAGAATTAAATACATCCCATCTTGTAGTTTAAATTCTGTACATCAACTATTCTTGTCAGAAGTGTTAGATTTATCTTGCACAGTCAATCATATACTAGGTTGTCAATCTTATATTTAATGTATGAATGGGCTTCTGGAGCTCACAGAGGTGAATAATTACCTAAGGTTACATAGTACCTAACATAAAAAGGTTACATGGTACCTAACATAAAAAGGTTACAACAGTCTTGTCAGTCTCCCGATTTCAGGTTTGTCAGTCTCTCATTGTACTTTCTATTTTTTTTCATGAAACAAACAGTATATGTTACTCTTCTACGTGAAACATGTTTTGTTCTGAGCTTATCGGGTAATTTTTGTGGTATTCATCTTTCATTCAGGAAAATAATGAATGGCTCATTTGTTGGGAAAGAGGAAGCCTGTTAGACCAGTGTAGTTGGAGATTAGCTGAAGTTAAAAGATTACTTTTTTGCATAAAAGTATTTGAATCATTTTGAGGACTTTAAAATTAGAAAAAATAGAGGCTTAGGAAGAAATGAAACTCAGACAGGAATCACATACCATAAGGTGCCTGCCAGGAGATGGAGTCTAGAATTCATGTCTGATAGTAATTTGGTAAAACTCAAGAGCTGAAGTCACTGTGTAAGTGTGAGCGTGTGCAGGGGTGGTATGTGTGTATAGTACAGAACAGGAATTTAATATAAAGGAGAATGTAGAAAGGGCTCAGTAAAGGTTAAGGGTTGAGTACATAAAAGATATAGAAGTCAAGCCCTCCACTCTTTTTTTGTTGGCCCTGGGGCTTGAACTCAAGGCCTGGGTGCGGTCCCTGAGCGTTTGTGCTGAAGGTTATTACTACCACTTTGAGCCAGGGCTCCACTTAGGAGGTTTTATTGGTTGCTTATTGGAGATAAGCGTCTCATGGACTCTTAGCTATGAACCATGATCCTCAGATCTCAGGCTCCTGAGTATCTAGGATGACAGGTTAGCCACCAGTGCCCCCTTTGAAGCTGTCACTAAATATATTTAGTGACAAGGAGGCTTCATCATCCTTCATCCAGAGTGCACTGCTCATGGTCATTCCAAAGCTAATTGTGAGAGAAAATTTGTTAAATAAATCCAGAATACAATCTCGAAACTTTTCCTCATATCTTGAACTAGACATAATTTTCTGTCACAGACCCAAAAGTCCAAGTTTTCTCACAGTGTAGACATCCTTTCCTGGCATACTGCCTGGGGAAGCCAGGGGCTTCCAGGTTAATTCTCATTTTTAATAACTTCAGTAGAATAATATTTCCTCTCATAGTTTCTTTACTTCCACTCAGATAGCCCAGAACAAAGCAAAACCAAGCAATACCACCAACAATAAAACAAAAACAAGGGAATCGAATGGAATCAAACCAACTGAATAGATAAAAATTAGTTTAAAATTCCAAATAAATTTACTGAGTTTAAGCATATAAACTTTACAAAGTACATTAAAATGTTTAAGCTTAATTTAAAAATAAAAGTAGAAGATTTAATGTTTAAATTTTTATTACCTTTAAATAGTTGTACAAAGGAGAGGGCTTGATTTTTTTGTCAGTCTGGGACTTTAACTCAGGACCTAGGCATTGTCCCTGAGTTTTCTTGCTCATGTCTAGTACTCTATCACAGCTCCACTCTGGCTTTTTAGTGGTTCACTGGAGATAAGAGTCTCATGAGTTAGCTTTAAATCTTTTTTTTTATTGTGAAAATACTGTACAGAGGGGTTACAATTACATGGGTAAGATAATGAGTACATTTCTTATCAAGCATTGTAGCCTCCTCCTTTGTTTCCCCTTCCCATCCCTTCCTATACCACCCTACCGCCCCCACTCAATCCCCCCCTCCACCAAAGTTGTAAAGTTTTTCGACATAACATCTTGTACATCTCATTGTTGCAATGGGTCCACCTGTATCCCTATTTAAACTATTTTTTCCCTTCCCCTCCACAAATTATACCAACATCAAATACAGTGAAAGCAGGGACATACAAAGCAACAAAGAAATCATCTTATAAATATGCTAGAAACAATCTCATGAAAGAAAAACATTTGAATACTTATCTTGGGGTTCATTTCCCTAACACCAACTTATCTGACCTTTTCTGCCTGACTCAGACATATACTAGTTATTGCAAATAAGGGAAACCATGGGACCTATGTTTCTTTGGGCCCGGCTTACTTCACTTAATAGAATTTTTTCCAAGTTTTTCCATTTCCTAACAAATGGGGCAATGTCATTCTTTCTGATGGAGGCATAGAATTCCATTGTGTATATATACCACAT